CTTAAATCCTAAAACTGCTAGCTTGTTGCTGTGGTAGCACCCGGACATGATGAAGTCCGAGAGAATTGATAAATGTAATAACTGCAAAAATCAATAGCAACAGTGAGAACACAATGTTGTGGCTTGTCATGAGAGCTTTCAAAGAGTTATCTTCACTGAAGAAGAGAATACAAAAAGAGCGGGCAGGCTCTTACGAAACGTTTTGTTTCCCAAAATGTTTTATTGAATAACGACTGTCAAGTCGGTCAAAACTGGACAAGATTAAACTAGGATTGTCAAAATCACTCCTCTGATTTCGTAAGTTCATTTTCTAGTGAGTATGAAAAAAACATTTTCCAAAGTAAACATGGAACTTCATACGAAAGTTGCAATGTAACTTACAATACTGTCCGCTTTACCGATGCGCATGCTTTGAAATAAATGTCATAGAGCAGACTGTACCACATGTTTCATTGAGCAACGTTGGACAAAGTGCCTGGTCTGTACCGTGTTATGTAGCTCTGGTTTTCCTTCAACACGAATAAATCTTTCGCCTTTTACTAAAGATTTCCGTGGAGGAGAACAACTCGAATGAGTCTATAGACTAATTTTTTGTCGCCCTGCATTTTGGCGGGGCACCTAACTGTAAGGAGGTAAGAATCTTAAAACTACTGGCCTGTTGCTAGAGAGCTTTCAAAGAGTTATCTTCACTAAAGAAGAGAATACAAAACGGGCGGGCGGGCTGTTCTTTCATTTTTCCTTAACCTCTTTCTCTCCCCGAGAAAAACCTGCTCGCAGACTACTTTCCTGACTTCTTAATACATTAGATGTTAATGATGGCCATTTGAGAAACGAAAACATATTCGATTTTGATTGCACTAAAAAGTGTGTTATATTAACGCAGTGTTTTCGCTCCGAGATTGTAAACATTTGACTTTCCTTTAGCTCCGCTATAAACAAACAGTTCAATTCACCAGGCGACAGTTTGAAGAAAAATTTTATCGATCAAAGAAATGAGGCTGACTGATTTAGTATTTAGCGTATTGTCGCGTGTGAATGCCGATTAGATGCGACGGCAATCAAACAAGTCAGCGCGTTTCGGAAAAAAAATACGTACTGTGAATTAATTTTGTGACTAGAAGGTAAACCACAAAATTAAAGCGTGTGGAAAAACTCGGCTTTGCCTGCAATGCACCATACAAACCCAGTTATGCTAAAACTGGGCAAGATTGAAACTAAGATTGTCAAAATCATTACTCTGTCGCTCGTGAGATCATTTTTTTATCAAGCAAGAACAAAAAAAAGCACTTGCAACTAATACGAAAGTTGCAAGGTAACTTACAATAATGTACGTTTTACAGATGCGCATGCTTTGAAGTACGCGTCATAGAACAGACTGCCCCACATGTTTCGTAGAGTGACGTTACACAAAGCGCCTGGTCTGTGCAGTGTTTTGTTGCTCTGGTTTTCCTTCAACACGCAAAAATCTTTCGCCTTTTACTAAAGATTTCCGTGGAGGAGGACCACTACGATGAGTCTACAGACTAATTTTTTGTCGCCCTGCTTATCGGCGGGGCACCTGAGTTAAAGAGTTAAGAACTTTACAACCGCTAAGTGGTTGCCATGATAGCACCTGTTCATGAAGAAATCCGACAGAATTGATAAACGTTCGCAGACTGAAACAGTCAATGGCAACAGTGTAAACTCAAATTCGTAATTTGTCATGAGAGCTTTCCAAAGGTTATCTTCACAGAAGAAGAAAATACAAAACGGGCGGGCAGGCTCTTCTCCATTTTTCCTTTCCCTCTTTTTTCCCCGAAAAGAAACTGCTCGCAGAATACTTTATTCACTTCTTAATACGTTAGACATTCGTTCGGTAAATGTTCATTGCTCTCACTTTCCCCAAGGCCTCAAATTCTGATCCATTTCGGAAAACAAATTCGTATTCCGATTACCGTACAAGCTGGTGTGGCATACCACTAAAAATTGCTGTGGCACACCACTACAAATTGGTGTGGCACACCACGACAAATTGCTGTGGAACACCTCTACAAATTGGTGTGGCACACCACTATAAATTGGTGTGGCACACCACTACAAATTGCTGTGGCACACCACTACAAATTGGTGTCGCACACCACTACAAATTGGTGTGGCACACCTCTACAAATTGCTGTGACACACCACTACAAATTCGTATGACACACCACTACAAACTGGTGTGCCACACCACTACAAATTGATGTAGCACAGGACTACAAATTGCTGTGGCACACCACTACAAATTAGTATGACACACAACTACCAATTGCTATAGCACACCACTACAAATTGGTTTGGCACACCTCTACAAATTGCTGTGGCACACCACTACAAATTAATGTGGCACACCACTACAAATTGGTGTGGCACACCCCTAAAAATTGGTGTGGCACACCCCTAAAAATTGGTGTGGCACACCACTACAAATTGGTGTGGCACACCACTACAAATTGGTGTGGCACACCACTACAAATTACTGCGGCACACCACTAAAAATTGGTGTGGCAAACCGCTACAAATTGGTGTGGTACACCGCTACAAATTGCTGTGGAACACCTCTACAAATTGGTGTGGCACACCGCTACAAATTGGTGTGGCACACCACTACAAATTGCTGTGGCACACCGCTACAAATTTATGTGGCACACCGCTACAAATTGGTGTTGCACACCGCTACAATATGGTGTGGCACACCACTACAAATTCCTGTGGCACACCGCTAGAAATTGCTCTGGCACACCACTACAAATTGGTATGGCACACAACTACCAATTGGTATAGCACACCACTACAAATTACAGTGGCACACTACTACAAATTGCTGTGGTACACCACTACGAATTGCTGTGGAACACCACTACAAATTGGTGTGCCACACAACCACAAATTGGTGTCGCACACTAATACCAATTGCTGTGGCACACCACTAAATATTGGTGTGGCACACCACTACCAATTGCTGTGGCACACCACTAAAAATTGCTGTGGCACACCACTAAAAATTGCTGTGGCACACCACTACAAATATCTCTGGCACACCAATACAATTTGGTGTGGCACACCTCTACAAAATGGAGTGGCACACCTCTACAAATCGGGATGGCACACCACTACAAATTGGTGTGGCACACCACCACAAATTGGTGTGGGCTACCTTTACGAAATGGAGTAGCACACCACTACAAATTGGTGTGGCACACCCCGACAAATTGCTTTGGCACATCACTTCAAATTGCTATGGCACACCACTACAAATTGCTGTGGCACACCGCTAAAAATTGCTGTGGCACACCACTACAAATATCTCTGGCACACCAATACAATTTGGTGTGGCACACCTCTACAAAATGGAGTGGCACACCTCTACAAATGGCTGTGGCACACCACTACAAATTGCTGTGGCACAGCACTACAAATTGCCGTGGTGCACCGCTACAAATTGGTGTGGCACACCTCTACGAAATGGGGTGGCACACCTCTACAAATTGGGGTGGCACACCACTACAAATTGGTGTGGCACACCACCACAAATTGGTATGGCACACCACTACAAAATGGAGTCGCACACCAGTACAAATTGGGGTGGCACACCACTACAAATTAGTGTGGTACGCCGTTACAAATTGGTGTGGCACACCACTACAAATTGCTGTGGCAGACCACTGCAAATTGGTATAGCACACCACTACAAATTGGTGTGGCACACCTCTACAAATTGGTATGGCACACCCCTAAAAATTGCTGTTGCACACCGCTACAAACTGCTTTGGCACACCACCACAAATTGCTGTGGCACGCCACTACAAATTGCTGTGGCACACCACGACAAATTGGTATTGCACACCACTACAAATTGCTGTGGCACACCACTACAAATTGCTGTGGCACACCACTACAAATTGGTTTGGCACACCACTACAAATTGCTGTGGCACACCACTACAAATTGGTTTGGCACACCTCTACAAATTGCTGTTGGACACCACTACAAATTAATATGGCACACCACTACAAATTGCTGTGGCACACCCCTAAAAATTGGTGTGGCACACCACTACAAATTGGTGTCGCACATCTCTACAAAATGGGGTGGCACACCTCTACAAATTGGTGTGGCACACCTCGACAAAATGGGGCAGCACACCTCTACAAATTGCTGTGGCACACCACTACAAATTGCTGTTGCACACCGCTACAAACTGCTTTGGCACACCACCACAAATTGCTGTGGCACACCACGACAAATTGGTATTGCACACCACTACAAATTGCTGTGGCACACCGCTACAAATTGGTTTGGCACACCACTACAAATTGCTGTGGCACACCACTACAAATTGGTTTGGCACACCTCTACAAATTGCTGTTGGACACCACTACAAATTAATATGGCACACCACTACAAATTGCTGTGGCACACCCCTAAAAATTGGTGTGGCACACCACTACAAATTGGTGTCGCACATCTCTACAAAATGGGGTGGCACACCTCTACAAATTGGTGTGGCACACCTCGACAAAATGGGGCAGCACACCTCTACAAATTGCTGTGGCACACCACTACAAATTGCTGTTGCACACCGCTACAAACTGCTTTGGCACACCACCACAAATTGCTGTGGCACACCACGACAAATTGGTATTGCACACCACTACAAATTGCTGTGGCACACCGCTACAAATTGGTTTGGCACACCACTACAAATTGCTGTGGCACACCACTACAAATTGGTTTGGCACACCTCTACAAATTGCTGTTGGACACCACTACAAATTAATATGGCACACCACTACAAATTGCTGTGGCACACCCCTAAAAATTGGTGTGGCACACCACTACAAATTGGTGTCGCACATCTCTACAAAATGGGGTGGCACACCTCTACAAATTGGTGTGGCACACCTCGACAAAATGGGGCAGCACACCTCTACAAATTGCTGTGGCACACCACTACAAATTGCTGTTGCACACCGCTACAAACTGCTTTGGCACACCACCACAAATTGCTGTGGCACACCACGACAAATTGGTATTGCACACCACTACAAATTGCTGTGGCACACCGCTACAAATTGGTTTGGCACACCACTACAAATTGCTGTGGCACACCACTACAAATTGGTTTGGCACACCTCTACAAATTGCTGTTGGACACCACTACAAATTAATATGGCACACCACTACAAATTGCTGTGGCACACCCCTAAAAATTGGTGTGGCACACCACTACAAATTGGTGTCGCACATCTCTACAAAATGGGGTGGCACACCTCTACAAATTGGTGTGGCACACCTCGACAAAATGGGGCAGCACACCTCTACAAATTGCTGTGGCACACCACTACAAATTGCTGTTGCACACCGCTACAAACTGCTTTGGCACACCACCACAAATTGCTGTGGCACACCACGACAAATTGGTATTGCACACCACTACAAATTGCTGTGGCACACCGCTACAAATTGGTTTGGCACACCACTACAAATTGCTGTGGCACACCACTACAAATTGGTTTGGCACACCTCTACAAATTGCTGTTGGACACCACTACAAATTAATATGGCACACCACTACAAATTGCTGTGGCACACCCCTAAAAATTGGTGTGGCACACCACTACAAATTGGTGTCGCACATCTCTACAAAATGGGGTGGCACACCTCTACAAATTGGTGTGGCACACCTCGACAAAATGGGGCAGCACACCTCTACAAATTGCTGTGGCACACCACTACAAATTGCTGTTGCACACCGCTACAAACTGCTTTGGCACACCACCACAAATTGCTGTGGCACACCACGACAAATTGGTATTGCACACCACTACAAATTGCTGTGGCACACCGCTACAAATTGGTTTGGCACACCACTACAAATTGCTGTGGCACACCACTACAAATTGGTTTGGCACACCTCTACAAATTGCTGTTGGACACCACTACAAATTAATATGGCACACCACTACAAATTGCTGTGGCATACCCCTAAAAATTGGTGTGGCACACCACTACAAATTGGTGTCGCACACGTCTACAAATTGGTGTGGCACGCCCCCAAAAATTGGTGTGGCACACCACTACAAATTGCGGTGGCACACCACTACAAATTGTTTTGGCACACCGTTAGAAATTGGTGTGGCACACCACTACAAATTGCTTTGGCAAACCTCTACAAATTGGAGTGGCACACAAGTTGCTGGGGTACACCACTACAAATTTGTGTGGCAGACCACTACAAATTGGTGTGGCGCACCACTACAAATTGGTGTGGCACACCACTACAAATTACTGCGGCACACCACTAAAAATTGGTGTGGCAAACCGCTACAAATTGGTGTGGTACACCGCTACAAATTGCTGTGGAACACCTCTACAAATTGGTGTGGCACACCGCTACAAATTGGTGTGGCACACCACTACAAATTGCTGTGGCACACCGCTACAAATTTATGTGGCACACCGCTACAAATTGGTGTTGCACACCGCTACAATATGGTGTGGCACACCACTACAAATTCCTGTGGCACACCGCTAGAAATTGCTCTGGCACACCACTACAAATTGGTATGGCACACAACTACCAATTGGTATAGCACACCACTACAAATTACAGTGGCACACTACTACAAATTGCTGTGGTACACCACTACGAATTGCTGTGGAACACCACTACAAATTGGTGTGCCACACAACCACAAATTGGTGTCGCACACTAATACCAATTGCTGTGGCACACCACTAAATATTGGTGTGGCACACCACTACCAATTGCTGTGGCACACCACTAAAAATTGCTGTGGCACACCACTAAAAATTGCTGTGGCACACCACTACAAATATCTCTGGCACACCAATACAATTTGGTGTGGCACACCTCTACAAAATGGAGTGGCACACCTCTACAAATGGCTGTGGCACACCACTACAAATTGCTGTGGCACAGCACTACAAATTGCCGTGGTGCACCGCTACAAATTGGTGTGGCACACCTCTACGAAATGGGGTGGCACACCTCTACAAATTGGGGTGGCACACCACTACAAATTGGTGTGGCACACCACCACAAATTGGTATGGCACACCACTACAAAATGGAGTCGCACACCAGTACAAATTGGGGTGGCACACCACTACAAATTAGTGTGGTACGCCGTTACAAATTGGTGTGGCACACCACTACAAATTGCTGTGGCAGACCACTGCAAATTGGTATAGCACACCACTACAAATTGGTGTGGCACACCTCTACAAATTGGTATGGCACACCCCTAAAAATTGCTGTTGCACACCGCTACAAACTGCTTTGGCACACCACCACAAATTGCTGTGGCACGCCACTACAAATTGCTGTGGCACACCACGACAAATTGGTATTGCACACCACTACAAATTGCTGTGGCACACCACTACAAATTGCTGTGGCACACCACTACAAATTGGTTTGGCACACCACTACAAATTGCTGTTGGACACCACTACAAATTAATATGGCACACCACTACAAATTGCTGTGGCACACCCCTAAAAATTGGTGTGGCACACCACTACAAATTGGTGTCGCACATCTCTACAAAATGGGGTGGCACACCTCTACAAATTGGTGTGGCACACCTCGACAAAATGGGGCAGCACACCTCTACAAATTGCTGTGGCACACCACTACAAATTGCTGTTGCACACCGCTACAAACTGCTTTGGCACACCACCACAAATTGCTGTGGCACACCACGACAAATTGGTATTGCACACCACTACAAATTGCTGTGGCACACCGCTACAAATTGGTTTGGCACACCACTACAAATTGCTGTGGCACACCACTACAAATTGGTTTGGCACACCTCTACAAATTGCTGTTGGACACCACTACAAATTAATATGGCACACCACTACAAATTGCTGTGGCATACCCCTAAAAATTGGTGTGGCACACCACTACAAATTGGTGTCGCACACGTCTACAAATTGGTGTGGCACGCCCCCAAAAATTGGTGTGGCACACCACTACAAATTGCGGTGGCACACCACTACAAATTGTTTTGGCACACCGTTAGAAATTGGTGTGGCACACCACTACAAATTGCTTTGGCAAACCTCTACAAATTGGAGTGGCACACAAGTTGCTGGGGTACACCACTACAAATTTGTGTGGCAGACCACTACAAATTGGTGTGGCGCACCACTACAAATTGGTGTGGCACACCTCTACAAATTGGTGTGGCACACCTCTACAAATTGGTGTGGCACACCTCTACAAATTGGTGTGGCACACCACTACAAATTGGTGTGGCACACTGCTACAAATTGGTGTTGCATACCACTACAAATTGATGTGGCACACCTCTACAAATTGGTGTGGCATGTGTTTCCTCTCCAGGATTGACTTTCCTTTAGCTCCTCTGAAATCAAACATTTGAAATCACCAGACGACAGTGAAAAGCGTTACTATAAAAGAAATGACGCCGTCTGATTTAGTATTTAGCGTATTGGCCTGTGTGAATGCCGATCGGATGCGCTCGCGACCCTAATCCAACAAGTCGTCGCGTTTCGTGAAAAAGTACTGTGGATCGAATTTGGGACTGAAAAGACGAACCGCTAAATTAAATCGTGTAGAAAAACTCGGCTTTCCCTGCAATGCGCTCCCTGTATACAAACACAGTTATCCTAAAACTGGGCGAGATTAAAACTAAGATTGCTCTGCTTTCGTGAGGACATTTGTTAGGGAACAAGAAAAAGAAAGCATTTGCAAACTAAACATGGAAATTAATACGAAATTTGCAAGGTTACAAGCAATCATGTACGCATGCTTTAAAGTATCATAGAACAGACTTTCCCACATGTTTTGTAGAGCGACGTTAGATGAAGCGCCTGGTCTGTACAGTGTCACGTAGCTCTGGTTTTCCTTCAACACGTATAAATCTTTCGCCTTTTACTAAAGATTTCCGTGGAGGAGAACAACTTGAATGAGTCTACAGACTAATTTTTTGTCGCCCCGTCTTTTGGCGGGGCACCTAACTTAAAAGAATGAGTTTACTTAGAGTCTGATGGGAATTTTGAAGTTACCACCATTTCAGCAACTGCTTCATCACACGGCAAGTCGCACTCTTAGCTTGATCATGAAACTGTTAAGTTATTTTGGTCATATTTGAGCAGCTTTTACGGGAATTCGTACGAATTATTGGCGCCTAGTTCCCTCTCCATTAAGCCACCACGCAGAATACCAGCATGACAAAAGTGATTCTTTGTTTAGAAGGTCTGCATGAGTTTACCAGTTAGAAGTTAAGTTATTTCTCAGCTATCATTAACATTTGAGCTATTATGAACTGTCACTTGCCGAGCAGTGTCGAATAGCATCCGACGATTTCCGATTTTATTTTACTCGGACAACACACTTAGCTATGGTCACGGCGCGTCCCATAGACTTGATAAGCAGTCTACAGGACGCACCAGCTAGTTCACAGGTGCGCCATGAAAATAAAATAACGAAGTAAAAATGTGTGCAAATCCTGGTTGGTTCTGCTTTCATTGTGCACTTGCTTTTAATAATGGTTTCTGAGCATGCGTAGATTTAGTAACCGCTTGTGACTGATGTCTAATGCTGCTTCACCTCTCTATTTCGCCCAGAGGTCTCTTGATACTAACGAAAAGGGTTCGCGGACCCTGGAAAAGTTTGTAAGGTGACCTTTAAGCCTCGTCTATTCGAACACTTTTTAAGTGACAATTCTTATTTGCTCGTGTAGAGGAGAAAAATTGGCCAGTTTTCATGTGATAAATATATTTGCTGTAAAGCTGCCGTGTTAACTTTAGAACTTCAAAAAAGTTCAAAAATTGTGCAAAATTGTTGTTTATAGTGGACAATGCGCTTAGCTACACTTAGCTAGTTCACAGGCATGCCGCTTAAAGTGAAAGAAAGAAACATTTCAAATAACCATAATAGGCTTTAAAATCCCAACTAGCAGGAGGCAGACCAGTTGGCTATTTACAAACATGACCAAGGAGTTGAACTGGGGCGTACCGAGAAACAACTCCAGCTTGGTGGTCAGGGCAGCACTTGAACCCGCGACCTCCGGATTTTGGGAGTATAGCCTGGGTGGTCACGTAATTTCAGTAACGCTAGCCAGGCAACAAATAGTATGTAAAGTAACTCTTCCACAGTTAAACTTTGGCCAAAAACGACCTTTTAGCCCTTTATTTGTTATTAAATACAATTGAACATCAAACAGTTATTTTTAAATCTAAATAGTACACAAAATTCGTTACTTCAAGTTTTACCAGCAAAATGCTTCTGTATTGAAAATATTTCTTAAATATAAACATTGTTGTAAATAGGTTCCAAATGTTTTGGCAACGCGTCTGTGTTGGTGTTACCTAATGCTTGGCCAATCGTACCTTTCCTTAGAAACGCAGAAAGTCACGTGTTTATAAAGCTACACGTGGGGCAATGCGTGTCTTTTGATTGGCTCAGCCTTGAGGATGCCAACAGAAAGGGATGTATGGGTAGACACGATACAATGTATCTTTACTCTACTGGGCCCGGTTGATTAAAGAACGATAAAGTTAGTCCACGATTAGCGTTGATTTTGATGGCAATAAAATTGGGAAACTCTCACTATAGGTTCTCTGATTTTTGTTTTGTTTTGGTTGTTCCCTCAGTTGTCACTAATCTCAAACTCTTAATTTGAAGTCTTCTAATCGTGGTTAGTGTGAATCCGCTCTGAAACAACCCGGCCTTTGCGTATAAAAGCGAAAGCCCTTGAGAAAATTACTTAAAAGTCGCTTCAGTCGTTTTACAAACTATTCTAGCATTTAACAAATAGTGAAAAAAAAACATTGCAAGAAAAAAAACAACACACGATACAAATTAAATTCGATGATGCAACAGTCGTAAAAAAGCCGTAGGAAAATAATATCGACCAAGCTTATAAAACAAATTCTATTTACATTACTGACGAAATGAACTAATCTAGTCAAAATTGTCCTTTAAAATGAAGGATTTCGTTAAAGAGAAAAACGGTAAACTGTTGAAAAAAAAAACAAAATTATCGAGGACATGTCGACAAGTATATTTATGGATCTCTGAAAAACATTTCTAATTTCTTAGAGTTGATTTACCAACTACATACATTATAATTTTATCTCTTAACTATGCTACTTTTTTTTTGACTTTGTCACTATCATTTTTATCTTGTTACTGAAAATCGTTTATTATAAACTAGTTGCTGGTTTCTTCGCCTTTGTCGGTGTCGACAGTTGGTGTGGCTGTTATGCCGGCGTTTTTAACCAAGGAGGTGAGCAATGACACCTGATCTTCCTCACTGCTGTCGCTGAAGTGAGCACTGTCACTGTCGTACAGACGGCCATCCACCAGAGCAGTGCGCAGGCGCACCTTCATGGACGAGCTGAGTGGTGGGATTCGGTCACGTGGTATCAGGAAGTTAGACAAGTTAAACAGGTCCACAAATACCTTGTAACGATCGCTAGGAATTTAATGGCAAAACTCTGATAAGAAAAGGGCGGAGGGTAGAGAAAAATGCTCTGAGTTTTGATTCATTGCTATGAAGCAAAATGTTTGCAGACTAACCTGACCGTGGACCTAAGGTACTGGTACCCAGACGTGCCGCCAGTGCCCATTTTACTGCCAATCATTCGCTGCACCATCATCAAATGATTGTCTGCAAAGCAACAACAGCGGCTTACTAAAATGCCAACAATAGGTCCACTGTGCGTACATATGTCGACTGCTTTCAAGTCGGGTGACTTTTATACCTTTTCGTGACAAAGTACACGTCCAGCAGCTACAGTTGAAGGTAAGAACCTTCTTAAACTAGCTTAGCTATCTCCGACAGTTAGAACCATTGAACCACTGCGGTAAAGAATTTTGGCCTTTGCAAGTAAAACGTTTGCACTAACGATTCAAGCAAAATCATGTAAACTTACATCGCCACTTGATCAAATGCGAGTCAATATCCATCAATAGTTGAAGAATCTGGAACGGTTGGTTAAATCGAGGCTCGTCACTGCAGAAGTAACAAGGATGCAAAGTTAGGCCACTGGAAAAAAAGTACACAATTTTGGGACACTTCATAAAGCAAACGATTTGTTACATAACGCCGAAATATTATCCGAATGGTTTGTAAAAGATTGTCCGGAAATTTAAGTAATCCCTGGATTAATGTATCTGGACTACCACTTTCAGGGAAAATTTCGTTCTTGCCGTTTCTCCGCCAGAAAATTGACAAACGTGCTAGCAGATTCTTGCTCCTGTCGCTAAAGGTAAAGTTGGAAAGTCTGTCAGTGGCAACCCAGTACATCCATCGACCTCAATCCAATAAAATTTTACTGAATACTGAATTTCATACCCTGGTCTTGCGCAAACGTCAAGCGCTATTTGCCATGTACGGCTGTTACATAAAACGGAACCAAGGTAGTTTAGTGTAAGATATATAACAAATAAAATATTCTCACCGATAAAAGTAAATCATCAGTGCTCCTTGCATGGCTTTGTGAGAGAACCTTCTTTCGCCTATAACAGAACAGAAGACTCAATTCTTCACTAACTTACACGACCCTTTCCTTTCACTTTATGTTATTTGGGAGAATTTCGTTATCGACTAAAACAGCATAACAATAATAATAATAATAATAATAATAATAATAATAATAATAATAATAATAATAATAATAATAATGACTTTGTTATCGTGTCAATTACATCTAGCAGTGGAGAATCCCCACTGCTAATAGGGGACACCTAACTAGAACTATCTAAAAATAATATACAGAAAAGTGCTATAAGAGAAATTAAAATTATGAGTTACAAAGATGGCAGCCACTACGTCCATCTAGGATGTTGCCTAGATATAGCCTCCGTACGTGGGTCGTAAACTACTTGAGATTTATCGCCGATCTTTCTTTATTTGCATGCCATGAATGATTAGGTGCTACAACTTACAAGCCTTGACTTGCTCTGGTACTGAGGGGAAATTAGGTTCAGATTACTGCAAGGTTGATTTGCTTTTCAAGTTGCATAAGCACTTGTAGAGTATCTTCTGTTGTTACAAAAATATGGAAACAAAGACCCAATCTGCCCTTAAGTTTGTGCATAACTTTAGCAGCTAGAGTGTTACCTCGAACAACAAGTTGGTTGTGCCTTTCTTCACTGAAGATTGATTCAAAATGGTCCTGTTAACAAAAACAAAGGAGAATCAAGTACAAATGACTGACTGAGTTAGAGTAAGAGTCAACAAGAAGGGAAGACATTGAAAAACTGCATCGCTAATAACCTGGAAATAAAAGCAAAAGTAACGTTTAACTAGTTTGCGAGTACAGCCGCTTCTCATTGCTTCTGGTCGGGAGCGCTTAGAGGCTCATCCATTCGAAGGGTAAAGTTCACCAGAAAGGGGCCATCAATGCACTTGCATTTTGTATGTAAGAGTAAACGGTCTTCTCAGGAGAAGCAGTCTTTCAATAAACGTACCTCTTGTTTTTTTACTTCCTTTAACAACGCAGCCCTAACTTCTTCATCTTCTACAGCCTGCAAAATGGTACAAAATAACGATTCACCTTTAGTATTATTAATCATCCAAACTAATACTGTAAGACCACAGCAAGCACGACAATGAAGAACAAACTTAAGGCTGGTTTTCACAAGCGACGGAGTCATAGTCGGAGTCGTAATCAGAAGCGTAGAGTGATACGATCTAGTGAAAATCAAACTGACGGAGTGGGAAGCAGAACACCGCATCCGCCTACGACTCCGTCGCGTATGATTCAGTGAAAACTGGATTGTCGGAGTCGGTAGCAGAAGCGGAAGAATAAACCAATCACAGTGTTCGTTTCCGGGCCTCATGATTGGTTGGTTCTTCCGTTTCTGCTTCCGACTCCCACAATGAAGTTTTCACTGGATCATAAACGACGGAGTCGTAAACGGAATCGGAAGAAATGGAAGCGTTCTGATTCTTCCGACTCCGATTCCGTCGAGCTTGCGACTCCGCTTACGACTCTGATTTTCGATTTTCACTAGGTTATAAGCTCTTATGACTCCGACTCCGTCGCTGGTGAAAACCAGCCTTTAGAGAGCTCTCATGCACTGAAAAACGTCTGGAAAACGTCTCGTGCAACGAAAATTTCGTAGAACACAGGTACTCTTAGCCAGATCGAGAAGTACGAAGCCTGCGTCGAGTACTGTTCAGTGACGTCATTGGTCGTGATGGTGTTAAGGCTTCTTGCTACACGAACCTGTGAAACATCTTGAACTCTAAACTAACTCACATCTAGTGATAAACCTATTCACACATTTTTCGTGTAAGGAACCAATCAGAAGAGCTAAACAAACATCATACCTCGGCCTCGGCCTTCTGTGTTTTAAGCATGGTTTGAACGCTCTTCTTGTATTTTCTCCAAAAATCAAACCCATTCTCCTCCAGACCAGGGGTTCTCTCCAACCAATTCTAAACAAAAACAAGCACAAGGTTTGCAGATTGTGAACCATTATTCTACTGCTGTGGAAGTTAGTCAAGCTGATTCTTCATATGTCGAGGGACAACATAGAAATGTCTCTTCGTGTGATCTTTTTGACGTATCCATGGATATTTGCCACCGGAAATTTACCTTTGGAAATGTCAGTCAAACTCACTAAACGCAGTTTCCCGTGGTGAAAGGATCATTTACCAAGGTAATAGTGCCCCGTGAAACCTCATAGTATATTCCAGACCTATAGAGCAACCGAAACTGTAAGGTGAGTTCCGTTGCTCATATTGAGTAGCGGTCACTAAAGGAAAGTGTTCTTATTGCTCCATTCCAGATGGTCAGAATTAAGAACTTCGCGTCAGTGATAGTTCATTAATGTGATCTATAAAAAATACAAACCTGAACTTGTTCTAGTAGTGAGGGTGTGCTTTCTGATTCTTCCAGTTGCTTTCCGTCTTGGGAGTCAAATGCTTTGCTGGAAAATTGAAAAAGACAAAATATCACCCAAAAAGAAAAACGTAATGACACCAAAAAATCCGCGAAGTATAGTGCCACAACATACATCGACTAATTCTTTAACGATTCATGCTTTTGGATTTTCCAGTCAAAGACGAATGAAATTCAGAATGGGAACACCCTGAGAATGATTTGGAACATGGTGACCACTTTGCACTTGCCTAGAGGTGTTGCGTTATAACATAAACCAAGCAATTACATTTTACATGGTATATAATTTAAAAAAATAAATAAATAACAATCCAGCGAGTTTACACAACATGCTATTCACTCTAACCTGTAATCCTGATAATTGTAACGTATTCTGTGACTCTGTCATAGAAATAAGAGAACGTAAATTATTGGTCTTTTAATCATATCTGTATATAATATTTTTGTTGTCAATAAGGGTACTTGTAATTAAGTGCATATTACTCTTTAAGGTTGAAAGAACTAAGGCCCATTCACAAGTTCTCTTCTCGGTACTAAACAGATTTATTACCGTGTCACTTGTAAAAGAAAACTGCCCCCCTCACCTCGTTTCTCTACATGTAAGTCCAATTGTAGTTAAACGAGCTAGGTCACGGTTTGCGTATCTTGAAAAGTTTAGCCTAAATTTTTCAAGTTCATCGTTTACAATGAATGAATTGATAATTATAAACAAGACTTGAGAGGAAAGGTATTTCAACTTGTCCCTCATACCTTATTGATGCCTAATTTATTCTCAATCAGCCTGAACTGAAGGCTCTGAAATCCAGAGGCAGGGGCCAAGTAATCTCTACAGACAAGAAGAAGGACAACACACAATGAAAATGTTAGTTCGATTCTCCATGTGATCTTTAACCCTATCCACACTGGCCAGGGAGTTTTATGCCCAACACCAACTTTGAACTCTTAAAATATGGTGTTTTTCCCCATTAGTTATCTAGGAACAAATCGGTACGAGTTAGAAATAATTCGTAATCGAGCTTCTGTTATTTGAAACTCAGAGCCTTCTCCGCTATCTCGAACTACTTTTCGTTTCCTCTGAGAGTTCGAAATAGGATAGGATTCAGCTGCATCATTGTTCAAGGATCCTGGGTTACCATGGCAACCGTACATTATTTTGACAGGCAGGTTGTCAAATTTTCAGTTTTCCAGTTTTTAGCGTAACAAAAACAAGCCCTATAGAGTAACTTTGACCGTGCAACACTGTATGCTGTATACATGAGAGTCACTGACCTGAATTCCATAAAGTCCAGTGGAGTCATGGTCTCCAAAATCATGATCTGATCCCTCAACAGCTACAGAATTTCAAAAAAGGATAAACATCAGTGAATTTTCACAACTTTACAAAGTCAATCACACGTGTTACATTCATTAGATTAGGAGCAGCTAGTGCTCCTTTACAGATTGTCAAGAAACACAGATCATGCAGAAATGAGTGACTTCTTTGATTAACAGTCCCACCCCACAACGGGCTGCTTAACCAATCAGATCAACCATTTTCTAGTCAGTCAAGTCACCTGATAATCTTAGGATAAAGTGACTACTGGCAGTTTCGTTTCGCATTTTTTTTTTCCAGGGGTCATAAAAAAAAACCTGGAACATAAACTTATGAAGCATAGCAAACGTATGCCATTTTTACAACCCCAAAACAAAAGTTAAATTGAAAAACTGTTAGCAAGAATACAAAACAAATAAGATCACACACTTTTTGAATCTGCACAATGCGGCCCAGCCTTGAGATTAAAACAAGCATCTTTCTTTCATCCATACCCTTTAAACCAAAACAATTGTCCACAGTTAATTGCTTCTGATAAACAGGCATTTAAACGATTCAATGTCTGCCATAGATGTTTTATAAGAGTAATTTTGTGTACTTAAGTGTATAAACTCAAGAGGATAACAAAAGTCAGGTAAAAAAGTGCTGGTATGCAGCAGTCCTTCCATTCCAGCAAGTAGATTAACAGTTATGTATTTTTTCTCTGGCCTAATAGGTTTTTAATGGTCCAAAAGACTTCACAGTTCACTGTTTTACGCTACATGGGCCTCCAGATTAAGAGGTCTGTGTGCAAACCTGCACATGCAAGACAAGGTTTCAGTCTAAAATGAGCAAATCTAAAAGTAGGTCTCAGGGAGAGAAGTTAAAAAAAAAATAATAAAACTTGACCTTTACCCTGCACCACCTCTTAAAAAATTGCAAAGATCAACACCTCCAGAAACCTCATAAAATTAAAATGTAATTACAGGTGTAGCTCACCAGTTCCTCAAGGGTAAAGATATCTCTGATGGAGTCCAGCTCATGGATAATCTGTTTGAACCACAATTCATAGGCTAAAGGAATAGATTTAGATAAATATAACTTGTAAGTCTTTAGAACAAATCTTGGCATCAAACTTATGTCAACTGCATAATTATCTATTCAAAAAGGATGTCAAATTCTTATAAGATTAAATTTGGAAATACAGTTAACAATAAAGATTAGCGAAAAAACTGAGCAACGACGTTTCGGTGTCATCCTGGCACCATTTTCA